GTGGGCCACCACGCCCAGCCAGTTTCTATATTATTCCTCAGTCACAACTTCTGCATTAATGGTCCTTTATTATCACTCAATTATAATTGGCAATGTTTTCATTATGCATATTTTCAAATCTTCATTTTATCCATGCATTTAGCATTTATCTGAAGCTGGGGTGTATTTTTCTAAGGATATTAAATCACATTTAAAAGTCCTAACACAGCACTTCAAGTACTTTTATTAATGCATCTATTCCATATTTCTGATAGAAAACACAGCCCAAAGAGGAAATGTGGTTTAACCAAGGTCACAGAGCCAATCAATGATAAAGCTTATATAAGAATCCAGATATACTGATGCAGTATCAAATTCTAAAATCATAGGCACAGCGGCATCTGTTCCTTTTCTTTGTCTCCTTCCAAACCACATGCATGATAAAGCAAAATACAATTCCCCTTCAGTTTAAAAATGAAAGCTGGGTTTAGTGGCACATGTCTGTATTCTCAGTATTCTGGAAGGCTGAGGCAGGAGGATCACAAATTTGAGCCCAGCCTAAGCAATTTATGATTGAGTGACTCCAAAATAAGGCTCAGTCCCCAATAAAACTCCCTACCAAAGGTTAAGTACTGCTATGCCAAAATCTACCTCAGGATGACTGTGGCAAATTGGAAATTAGCCAGTGTATTTCTTATTCCCAAAAAATAAATAAACAAACTGAGAAAAGCAAATCTTACAGGGGCCATGGAGCCATAAAGTTACATTATATAAGGTAGTCAATTTTGTTTCTGGAGTAAAAAATTACTAAGAGTTCATTAGTTTGATAAAAACCAGACCTGACCTAACAACAGCAATTTCATATTAAAAAAGCAAATAATCTTCTCAATTCTGAACATATTCCTGTCATGCCTGCTTTCAAATACAGAAATAAGGATGCTAAAGTATTCAATAGAATGGGTAGATCATTTGAACACTTTTGAACTTCAGTCTCATCTGAAGTTGTTCTCCTTTCTATCTGGTAGACATGAGAAGTTTATATAGCTAAGGATGCTTTGAAACTTAATACAACTGTAAAGCTGACTTACTGAATTGTTTCAACCGTAAAGGTAAGTTCTAATTTATACTAAACTAGCCACAGGCAGATTTAGACCATGCTTAAAGACCTTTATGGGTTTATACCTGGAATACTGTTCACACTACCCCAAGTTTTAACAAACCAAGCCAAACAAATTGCTTAACAAACTAATAAAATAAATACCATAAGTTCATTTTCACAAGACTTCTTAGAAAAAAGGAGAAACAATTACAGTACCTGATCCAGACCCCGATGTTGTCATATCATAAATTAAGTCTTTTAATGTAGTACCCTCTGAAATAAAAGGGCGATCTAATGAAGGATCTTCTTCATTTGGCACTCGATGGTGAATGACAGTTCGGTTGTGGCAGATATAGACCATCAACATGAGCGAGATGCAGACAAAACAGACTGGTCCAGCAATGACAGCTGCCAGCTCCACAGGACCAAGGCCAGGTGACTGCTTTTCTGGAAAAGGGCCTCAAGTGAAATAAACATCAACAACAACAAAACACTGTAGGTGGCATCCACATTATCTTTACTCCACATCTCCTGCAATTATCCAGTGAACCCCTGGCCACATGGCTTCATCAGAGGAGATCACAAGACTCAAACCCAGAACAAGCCCATCATTCAGGTTCCGCTCACTAGCCCTCCCTTTTATGATCACCAGCTCTGTCAGTGCCCTCTTATTTATGATCACCAGCTCTGTCAGTGCCCCAGCAATCATCCAATTCACTAAATCAGCTACCAACATCCCAGGTCCTTCCCATTTATCACTTTGGGTTACCAGCAAAGGAACCAGTAACCTGGAACAGCTCCCACTAATGTCTTTTAAAAATCATCATTTTTTTCCTAAGTACTTTTTGGCTTGTCTACCTATTTCAAGGCTAGTACCTGCTTATGGCACAATGGGAAATGTCTGAATACAAATAAGCAAAAGTTAAAAAAATTTATGTTGCCTCACCATTGCCAAACAACCTACATTTTAGTACATATGTCTCCAACAATTTTTTAAAGGCAATATACAACATCTCTTTTTAAAACAGAATTTTCCACATGCCAGTAATCACAGCACTTGGGAGGCTGAGGCAGGTGGATTGTTGCGAGTCTGAGACCAGCCTGGGCTACAAAGTGAATTCAAGGTCAGCCTGAACTGCATAGTAAGACCCTATCTCCAAAAGACCAAAAAAAATTTTTTCTGTTTATAAATATTCTTTTTAGATTATTTTAATCACCTGAATTGTAAATTCCAGATCATTTACTTTCTCATAATCTTTTAATAATAACACTTTACATTTTTGTCAGAACCACATACATTATAATTACTCTGACATTCATTCTGAGTCCAATTAGTTCACTGTTGACTACCATTTTTTTCTTCCTAGCAATCTTTCCCATTCTTGAGATCTTCATTTAGATTAATTTCTTATTATAAAGAATTCTATTTCTGGTCATTTCTTTTTTTTCAGTAAAAGTACATATGGGTCCTTACATACTGAATACTCAATAATCTGAAGACAAGCCCAGCATGGTAGCACATGCCTGTCAGCCCAGCACTCGGCAGGCTGAGGCAGGACGATCTCCATGAGTTGGAGGCCTAGGCATACATAGTGAGACCCCACCTCAAAAAAACAAAACAAAACAAAGTGAAGCAAAACAATAATATGATTGTTGCCTTTGTGTATGAAAAATCTCAGCCTAGCTCAATATACCATGTCCATTCTGCCCTCTGATACTTAAAAATCAGAAAAGCAGCTAGTGTCATAGTACATGCCTGTAAACCCAGCGCTTTGCCAGGCTGAGTCAGAGGAATTTCAAGTTCAAGCATAGCCTGAGCAACTTAGTGACTTAGCAAAATCCTGTCTCAAAATAAATAAAAACAAGGGTTGGGGATATAGCTAAGTATGAAGGCCAAGGGTTTAATCTCAAGTACCATACACACACAAAAAAAAGACGGGCAGAAAATCTGAATATATTTTTCCTTACATGCACTAAATGCACTAAATGTGTGTATGTGTGTGTGCGTGTGCGAGTGCGTGTTTTAACTCCGGAACATAGTATTTTAAAAAAATACATATTTGGACATTTTTTCATTAGTCATGCCTGATAATCTTCTCTCTTCTGTACTTGTGTCATTTTCTAGAATATAAGGAATTACCTAGATCTATCCTTCCTTTTAATTTGCTCACCAACTCTTTTCTCTAAACTGTAACATGATTTCTAAAGCTTGACTATAGAATTACAGCATCTATTCTGCTGCTGCACTCTCCACTTTATTTTATTTTAAAGAGAAAAAAATAAAAACAATGCTACAGAGTTTCAAAACAAGATAATAGGACATTAAGTTATACTGCATATTGTTATCTTCAAAATAGTTGCTCAGATTACAAGATATAAACTTGCAAAATTGATCAAACAATATAAGCACAAACCGTTCCTTTCAATGAATAATAGAAATTAGTAGTGTAATTATCTTAGCTATCTTGTGTGTGTGTGTGTATAAGATTGTATACATTCTATTTTAAAAAGCATTCCTCAACTGAACTTTTCTCTCAAAGCAATCTTTAACAACTGTGAAATGTTCTCATTTCATAGTGAACAACTGAAAACAGACTTGGGACTGTCTAAAAATTTTCCCTTGCAAGCAGTAACCCTATTTCATAGTATGATACCTACTGTAACTTATGCAGTTCAGTCTACTGCTTTTAAACCACAGGGTCTTTTCAAATGTAAAGTTTTTGTTGTTTATCCTGGAACTGAAAATGAGTTTATGTCTATTTAGCATTAGAAATGAGGTGACTTTTTCACAGGATTTTGTAAATCTCTATCCAGGTTGTTTCAGGCTGAAACAATGAAAATGGGAAATCTGAACAATCGTATTCTTTGCCATCTTAGAACCACAGAACTCACTACACACAAAAAATCACAGGCTGACAGACTCCTACAACAGAAGCTCACTAGCTTGCTGAAACTAGGCAGAGGGCTGCCTCCCTTCTATAACTGGTGGGGTCTGGCCTTTTTCCTCTGAGCTACAGCAGTGCTTCCTACTTTAATCAGCATGAGAGCAACTGAGTGGAAGGTGAGCAATGAGGTTGGCCCTTAGGAGATAGATAGTCTGGTGCCAATTATATATAAACTGCAGAAGTTCCTCACAAGTGTTGGCAGGCGGGTGTTATTTCTCTATTAATTCTTCTAGGATTAATTAATCTCCATTTTATACTCCTCTGATTATTACAGTAGAAATTTAGGATTCAGGGACAACAATAAAATAGTTAAATCTTAAATCTGAACTCTAAAATTAATCCAGTCCTAAAATGAAGCTGGGCATGGTACTGCATGCCTATAATCTCAGCACTTGGAAGGCTGAGGTACGAGGACTGGTGTGAGTTCAAGGACAGCCTAGACTACACAGTGAATTAAAGGCCACCCTGAACCATATGGCAAGATCTTGACTCAAAAAAAACAGTGAGGAAACAAAGGGAGGGAGGGAAGGATGAAGGGAAGGAGGGAGGAAGGGAAGAAAGGGAGGGAAGAAGGGAGAAAAGGAGGGAAAGAGAGAGATAA